TATACTCTCAAGGGATAATCAAAGGGATAATTCACCTGACCGCTTAAGTAACCATTCACTTATTGCATCATTTTTCGATGCATTGAAAGTTGTATGATGACCAAGCGAGGTTGTCATCCTGCTTATTAAATTATTTTGTAAATTAGTCATGCATGTTTGAAACAAGAAGGTAAATATATTAGACTTTAACTAAGCGTGACCATTTTCGTTTTACGGGGTGAACTATCTCTTTAAATAAATTCGTGGCGGGCGCTGGATTATCTGTTACACTGTTACATCATCCAACGGTTCAAACGTGAATGAATTGACGCTTCACAATCTGTTTTATGTAGCAAATTAGCAATAATAGTTTGGCTGCCGCTGTAGTATTTTATGACTGTAATACTGTAAGTGAAAGCGTTTCGGTCAGTGAATAAGTTTTGTATGTTGTCTAGCCGCAGTGAGAGAGAAAGGGAGGGGTAGATATAATTTACAGTATGTGCGTGAGTCACTGCAGTTCCTCCACACATTCAGAGATGCTGTGAGACGACCTGCCGCAGCACATAACAATGGGGTATTATCATTCACAATAGACTTTAGTGGGGATGGCGCAGTAGGGAACTTGCATGTAATGTAGCAAACGCATCTATTCAAAGCAGCGTTTAATTCAGGAACGATATATGGGCCCATTCGCACAGAACGCGCCTTTGCATTTCACTGCGCTGCTTTTCCATTGTCTTTTTCTAGGTAAAAACGCGGCTTTCAACTGTTAAATAATGTGTCCCTGAGAGGGTGCAGAGACGTAGGCGAGACAACAGAAAGAGATTAGAGAGGAGGGTCATGTTTTATGGATTTATTAATGTTTGTGCCATTAGGATTGTAGTGAGGATAAGATTTCTGATGAGCTGACTCAGGCTGCAGACTCATGTAAAAAAAAAAGATGTGGAGCGTAATACAGGCAGCTGTTATTTTGGGTCGCTCCAGCTAGTCAGAAATGAACTTGATGAGGTCATGGGATTTCTGTCGTAGATTAACCGCTGCCAGAGGACCCTGTAACAAAAGCCCTGGGACGGGTGGCTTCAAATTACTGGAGAACATTCGTGGTTTTTAATTACAAGTTTCCATAATTAATTATTTCTTAACTAAATAAACAATCTCCCTGGAAAGAATGAGGTGGAAAGGAAAAACTGCCTCTGTCAACAGTAGTCACGACAGCAATACCAGTAAAATTTCACGATTTTTGACACATTTTCGATATACCTAAGCAAAAACTAATACCGTTTTTAAATGTTTAAAGCAAGCACTTAAGAACAGTTAAACAAAATACAAGAATCAGAACACAAAACAGTGCTTATTTCTTTCAGTTATAAAAATTCATGCATTAAAGGTCATGTATGCGAAATATTCTATTCCATAAACGACTACTGTAGTTTTCCCTCAATAATATTGTTATTATTATTATTATACATAACCTACCCTTTTTATATTGATACACGAAAAACAGCATTTCACTTCATTTTGAAGTGTATCTGTACGTGCCATAGACTGTAAAAAAGCACGCGAGCATTCGCCACTGCTGGTACTGTAGAGAGAGTGATATCCTTACATCTTCTTAATTTTAGTTTCGACTTGCTACCAAAGTATTACTTTTGACATGCCTAACGGCTACTGCTTTTACAAATAGTAATAATTAAATAACAGAAAAGAAGGCGTAATTCGTCTTTAAAGCCAAATGCTTCAGAGTCATGTCATTCCAGAGTTAGTCGGAATTTGCAAGTCACTTCGTCAGTCTCACCTGCAGTCAGTCAGCTGTTAATCACATAAACATCGTGCTGAGCGCAGGCTTGCTTTACGTAATTCCATGTGCTCCTTGTAATGCGATAGTTCCTGCTATCTTAAGCCTGAGATTTTTTCCGTCGGCGGTTATGAACAAATGACTTGTGACACAGCCTCGAAGACCCCGTTTCACCTTAGCCGTGGAGGATTTTCCCTTATTATCGCTGAAAATGGGGCGCTGTACACACACACACACACACACACAACCTAATGATGCAATGATGATTTACTTTAACATCACTTTAGCAGGCGCTTGGCATCACGTGTTTGGAGTTGTGAAAATAACCATAGCACCGTATATGGCAAGCATTCTTGACTAAACTAGATCAGAGTTTACCTGATCCAATGCAACAAATATAGATGTCTTGCTCTCTTTACCAACTGTTGGTTGTAAATGTCTTGCATATCATGGCAAGGTGTTAAATTATTTACATAAAAAAAGAGCTGTAATTTAATATGCTCACTCTCAAAATCCCCCCAAAAAATGGTTGAGCAAGAACTGCACATGAACCTGAAGTGTTCAAATGCAGTTAAGTCAATACAAACTTAACCCTTACCTCTGTCTTATCTTATGACGACCATCCATCATGCTTCTATCATGGCCAACTCCTTAATTCCCTCATAGTTTGCTTGTACATCTAGTATTTTAAATACACACATTAAACTTTAACTGGTCCACAGTGTTCACGTCTATTCCTGTTAAGAGGCCACTTGATGGTATGCAAGTCCATCATTGGTCATTTAAAATCTGATAAGTAATTCAACACTGTCACGAAGTCACCGCGGTTGGTCTGGTTCTGTCAACCTGGGCCCCATCAGCTGTTTAGACCTTCATCAGTGTCCACCTATGAGGGCTCCTACCTACATTTCTATATGACACTACATGGTCAGATTCATGCTGGGATTCAGTGACAGAACTGTGACCTGTCAACCAAACGGTCTTAGAAAGAAGCATGTGCTTGGTCAGAGTAGGCAGAAACTGTGGAAGCTTTAAGACCAATGTTCATTGTAATGGTCATGTGAAGAAAACCTTGGCATGTCATTAGTTTATTTATATGTCCTGTCTTCTTGTAGACTACGCTGTGCATGATTTTGGAGACCTGACCTTCAAGCATCTGGAAAAAGATAAGCACTTCATGCACGTGCCATTCCCACGCACAGTTGGACGTGCCAATCAGCTGCTGTCGGGAGCTGTGAGCGGTGCGGTGGGGGCGGGACACACCTGCATCATGCTGGGGGGAGACCATAGGTACACCATTTTTTTTCTTTATCTAAAGTCTTAAAGTTTTTTTAAATGTACAATATCGGGGTAAAAATACACACTTTTATATACAAAGCCTTTTATCTTGATATATATATATATATATATGTGTATACAGTGGGTACGGAAAGTATTC